AAACAAATCGTGGTATAATTTGCATTCGAAATTGTATACAGGGTGGAGAAAAAGGTTGTGGCATAACTTTGCAGGATGGTACTACAGGTCAAGGTGAACATAAAAGGTCTATGAACATAGGTCCGGAAGTGCCTTATTTTCGAAATACGCGCCATACAAAAATAAAATCTATGTTGGTGAGATCAACAGGTTTATTTGGAACGAGTGACTTTTACAAGAGGTGCTCAACGTGAGATATTGTAAACAAAGGTCAGGCGTGTGCCTTGGTGTAAACAATATGCGAAAGGTACTTATTCGAAAGCGCAGAACGTTTTCCGATAAGTGGTGTAAAACAGTTAATCGCATCTTGTAAAGATGTTTAGTAATGCGGAGTATGCAGACATGCATTTGTTGTACGGAGAGGCCCGTGGTAACTGCGTAGAGGCTCGCCGTATGTACCAGACACGTTTTCCGAACAGACGATGTCCTAATCGACCAACACAGATTTTATTTTTGTATGGCGCGTATTTCGAAAATAAGGCACTTCCGGACCTATGTTCATAGGACCTTTTATGTTCACCTTGACCTGTAGTACCATCCTGCAAAGTTATGCCACAACCTTTTTCTCCACCCTGTATATAAAATTGTGTATATGGTACATTTATTTTGAAGATCGAAATACTCCAGAGAATTCTCGATGATTTTCTTAAAAGTCTGTGTAAAATAGAAATATTGTAGTTTTTAAGATAAGTTGCGCCTGAAATTGACATTCAGATTATATTTTATTCGATTATTATGCTTATAGTGTAATTGATTGACTTATTTTGATGCTGCAATGACTAATCTACATCTTTTTCTTTAACAAAGACTGCAATTGATAGCGACAATAAAATTTAAAACGTGAAACATCGTAAAAAAAATAGACAAACGTTGTACTGCTATGAATCTACTATAATTTTTAACAACTGAGTATCTACATTACAATTTATTAAATGTCAAAAATAGATTTGTTTATTTGCTTTAATTACACATTTGAACATCTTGCAATCAAATACTTTCAAGTATTTTGTATATACTCTTAAATGCCATATTACATTTTATGTTGAAATGTAAAATTAATGTAACAGATAGAAAAGAAGAGAATTATGGTCGCATGTTGTCAAAGACATTATTTTACAGTCGATGCAGAAAATCATTGTCTTCTCTATATTTTGCAATACTTAATATTTAAACGGAATTATTAATAAATTCTATTTCTTTGATAATGTATATACGTTTTTTAGCGATTAATTTTCGAAAATTTTCAGAATTAATGTAAATTACAACACACACACATTGCGTTGTAAAAAATGATTCTTAAAAATTTTGTAGCTTGTTTGCGATCATTGTATTGGTTATATATAATGTAAAGTCATTTAGTAAATATATAAATTTTATACAGTGTACAGTTTTTTATTTCACTCTTATATCCCTGTATAATTGTGTATCTTTATTTCTATAATCTTATTAAAAGTAAAAAAGCTTTCGCTTTTTAAGAGATCATATAGTATAGTACAACCTACATCGCTCTTTAAGAGATTATACAGTATAGTACAATCTACATTGTCAATTTAAATATTTGATTTGATATGTATCCATGCATAAATTAATTATTTTTGAATAAATGTAGTATAATTGTATGATAAATATGTAATCAAGTCATTTATTTAATATAACAAAGAAAGAGAAATATCAGTACCATTAAAATATCAGTATGTTGAATATTAGAAAAAAGTATCGTAATATATGAGAATATGTAAAGAATCTATACAAGTATAAATCTGATTTATTTCCTGAAAATCGGAAATGAATCACCATGTTATTTCCATGAAATGCATATAAATTAGCAGATTCAGAATATTTACAATTATTCACAGAACACATTTGTTCTTCTATTTTAATGCATGGAAACCCACGAGTTTTTCTAATCACATATTTCTGTAATGGCATCTTATATAAACTTTCCGTTTACTTTGGCTTAGTCTCCTGATCATTGACGTATCTTATATAAATTTCTCGCTCATCACTGCCGCCAGGCGGAATCTCAGCTTCGTTTAAATATGAAACGCCTATCGCAAGAACGGAACCATCATGGCTAAAACTAAGCGCGGCCACGCCAGCATTGTATCGGTGGAACTGGCACAGTCGTTTCTTATTAAAACCATCCCAAATATTCACGTAACCATCCGAGCCACCGGTGGCAAACGTATTGTATGCAGAATGGAAGCTAATAGCATTCACTGGATAAATATGTTCGACATTATTTTCCTTTATTCTGTGACACTTGAATGCGTATTTCTTTTTTTGAGCTTCTGGCATTGTATCAAGATACTCAACAGCAACTCGACCTTCTATGCTGCTTAATACATATCCCTACATATAAAAAATAAAATTTATAAAGGGGAATGTGAATGTATGCTCAATCCAAGTAACAGTAAATGAAGTAAATCGCGAACTTTATAAAGGATGTGAACGTACCTGTTCATTAGGGAAACCTTTAATACATCGCGTTTGGTATTTTAGACTACTTTCTCGTCTCTGAAACATGCCTGCCATGTTTCTTAAATCCCAAATGCAAACTTTTCGTTTTGCCGTGCCCACCACGAATTTGTCGCCACATACAGACAAGGCAAGTACCACATCGGGTTGCAAATAACTACCAACGCAGGTAGGTGATCGAGGATCCCACAGTTTTACCGCGGCATCCCAACCACCAGTTAATATTGCATTTACAGCTGTACAATGCTCTATTTTTCTAATTGGCTTATCATGTGTGCCCATTATTGTTTCTACAAATATTTTCAATGTATATTTGTAATAAAAATATAAAGTAAAATAATAAAAAATATTAAAAAAGATAATAGTACCAGTATTGCTATTTATGTCATACATTTTCAAAGTATTTCCCAATCCACCGCTATATGCATGAACAGCGTCCTACAAATAGTTTGTGATAAAAAAGAAAAATATCAGGGAATTATCAGAATGAAAAAACATGATCAAAAGCTTTTGGAAATATTAGATAATGCAATAACAAGAACAATCATTTGAAGATTCAGGTTCAATTATCATTTTATGTCATTAAAGAGAAAAACTTTCAATGTTAACTCTATAATGTAACAGAAATAAATATAAATGAAACTAAAATAATTTATACGTATAAAGCATGATTTAAAGATTGTTTTCAGATAATTGTACAATTGAGCAAAACAAAAGAAATTAGCGGCTTTAGTTACCTGAAATGCAACGTCCAATACTGGTAAATCATGATTATATTTTAATCTCATCGTATTAGCATGTATGTCGTACAGTCTCACTGTACTGTCCCATGATGACACTAATAGAAACTGTGTGGAGTTCGGTCCAAATTCGACCGCAGAAATTGCGTCGGTCGGTGGTGACTTTATTTTAAATTCGGTTCTAGACTCCATTCTGCCAAAAATACAGAAGAATCAGCAGTATTTACAAATGAGTGCGAAACTCGTTGGATGAGTTTTGACTAACACTTAGATATCTGCAAAATCGTAGTTGCAATGAAAAGAGAATTATTTCGTTTTTTTTTACAGCAATAGCAGGCAAATGCGAATATATAAATACCTTATTGCCAAGACGAGTCTTCATAAACACAATATAACCTATAATCTCAACAGGCGTACAAATCCGGTCAAAATTTCTAACGTACTTATTTGATACAAATCAGCTGAAAGATACAGTTAAAAAGCAAACTTCTAGTCGTATATAATACGAATGTTAACGATTATTGAATACACGTAAGTTTCAATATAATAAAATGAGAAAGTTTTTGAAACACCACGGTTATCCCTATCGCGTTGCTCCCACTTCTTCCATATTCGAATATATATTTCTTTCGTTGGTAATGTCAAATGTGATAAATAACAATGGAAAACGATTGTAATTAAAAAATTTTGATTCACAGATAATTTTATAATTATTTTTATACTACATAACAAATTGACATGTATTTATTGTTCATTATTATTTATTGTTTAAACAAATTAAACAATATAAGTCATAATACTAAATTAATAATAATAAATAATGTCTAAGCAATATTATCGGTATTATCACCAACGAGATATTATTAAAGACCGACATCCTTATGGGAGTTCGCGTCCTTGTAATATTGAAGTGATTAAGAGTAAAAAAAACTGATAATATTGTACTAATTTTATGATTTATTAGTTTAGTAGACGTGTTTATCGATGTACGTGCATTTAAAACTCAATAATACTCGATTTTTCTTTAAAATTGTGATTTCAGTGTTATCGTCAAAGTTCGATTATCAACAGAGATAATAACTGCAGAGAAAAAAATTGTAATTTTTCGGCAATATATAGGATATTATAGTTTTACAAATATGCATATTTATTTATAGAGCATTTATGTAATAAAATATCATGAATTTAATAATGTATTAGTCAAATATTTATGTTAATAATAGCAAATTTATATCAATTGTCGATAATGTCAGCACTTTTCGATTACCTCCGGGCCCTTGAGGCCCTTTTTATACCGCCGAAAATTTGTCCAGGGTTGACGGTCTTTAATAGTATCTCGTCGGTGGTATTATTTTCAGTCTTTTCTGTAAATTATTTCAGTTTTTAGTTATTATTTTTGTACTGTTACATGTTATATTCTGTGGAGTTTACAAAATATAAAGGCCGGTATTCATAGTCGATTCTTATTTTAAGACCGTCTTAAGTAGTGTCTTAAGTCGCTAATACGGCCTTCTGATTGGTTCATGACTTCTTAAGAGTGTACTTAAGACGGTCTTGAATATAAGATCTGACTATGAATACCACCCAAAGAATCGTAAAATATAATTTACATATACATATAAGAGAGCGAAACAAAATCGACTACCGTGGATATATTACCTACTGGAAATATCCGTGGTTACCGTGCTACATAGTTAAAGAGGCGTTTTGTGCGTATAGAGGCGTTAGTAGTAATCGATTTCTTTCTAAAGTGTGGTTACGTTTATTGGATCTTGAATTACTCTGATTTACTCCACGAGTTTACTTCAATTCGGAGAGTCTTTTTACATTTTATTGGAAGTGCTAAGACGCGTACAGCGAAATTTTTCGCAAAATGGCGGATAAGTCACGTCGTGTGGCACAAACGGAGGATTTATCAAATGTCGAGTTCGAAACCAGCGAAGATGTCGAGGTTATTCCTACCTTCGACAACATGGGTCTCCGCGACGAATTGTTACGCGGAATCTATGCGTACGGTACGTCGTTTATCGTTTTATTTGTCAACTTAACCTCAGCTTTTGAACGGTTTATTTTGTTTAGATTGAATCGCGCGTAGAAGCACATTTGGAAATAATGCCTACGTTTACACCGTGCGCTTAGTCCGCGACCTATACGATAGGTGTCTTTGTTTAATATACAGGATAAACAAGGACATCTATTGTATAGGCCGCGGCCTAAATGCACGGTGTAAACGTAGCCACTACTCGAGTTGCCCTGCGCATCATTTTATCCTTGTTTAACATTCGATAAACAACACACAAACACAAAAGGTCTGTTTTTTTATTCCTGCACTAGACTGTACTAAAATTTTCTTTCTCTACATATCAAACATCTATCTCACTTTAAATTCCAAAAGTGTATACTAGTTCAGCCATAAAAAACACCTACAGGGATAAAATAATACACAGGAGCACTCGGATAATATTTCCAAATGTAGCCTAGTTCAGATCTTCAAATGATTATAAAAAAGGCAGATTATATTTTGCATATATAATTGACCCACTGCATGTATTTGTTTCATAAAAATGTTGATTGTAATTATTGTTGTAATCGTTAGCTACTTATTCTGATATTTATATTATATGTTTATATTGGTCGTTATTATATTTTTTTATCTTTATTCATGATTTTTTTGTAGCTTGGTTATCACAATGTTAAAAAACTTATAATGAAATTTGTAAGTTACTACTTGAACATCTTTAAACATTTTGTTCCTATTTCAATATAGGTTTTGAAAAACCATCAGCCATTCAGCAACGATCTATTAAACCTATTATGAAGGGCAGAGATGTTATTGCTCAAGCACAATCTGGTACAGGAAAAACCGCTACCTTTTCCATTGCGATATTACAGTCACTGGATACACAAGTACGAGAAACTCAAGTTTTGGTTTTGTCCCCAACCCGAGAACTTGCCACTCAAATCCAGAAAGTTGTCCTTGCATTGGGAGATTTTATGAACGTACAATGTCATGCTTGCATCGGTGGTACAAATCTTGGAGAAGATATCAGAAAACTTGATTATGGCCAGCATGTTATATCTGGTACACCTGGTAGAGTATTTGGTAGGTACCATACTTTATTATATATATATTTAATGTGAGAAAGAATTTTTAACACTAACATTTGTGTAAAATTCTGAAACTTAGATATGATTAAAAGGCGAGTACTCAGAACCAGAGCTATCAAAATGCTGGTACTTGACGAATCTGATGAAATGTTAAACAAAGGTTTCAAGGAGCAAATATATGACGTGTATCGATATCTACCACCAGCAACGCAAGTTGTTTTAGTTTCAGCCACTTTACCGCATGAAATTCTCGAAATGACTAGCAAATTTATGACAGATCCTATCCGTATCCTTGTCAAACGGTAAATAATTTATCTTCAATTTTTATTGTCAAACTTGTATATATGTTATATGTTGTGTATATATTTTAATTATTTCTAATTTCAGTGATGAATTGACATTGGAAGGAATCAAGCAATTCTTCGTTGCTGTGGAACGAGAGGAGTGGAAATTTGATACGCTCTGTGATTTATACGACACGTTAACAATAACACAAGCTGTTATCTTTTGTAATACTAAACGTAAAGTAGACTGGTTGACGGAAAAAATGCGAGAGGCCAATTTTACAGTATGTTCTATGCATGGAGATATGCCACAGAAAGAACGAGATAACATAATGAAAGAGTTTCGATCTGGTCAGAGGTAGGCATTAAATTCCAAAGATAAAATTTAAAAATATTTAATTTTTTACAAGAAATTATACCAACACGTTTCTTTTTTTACAGTCGCGTGTTAATTACAACCGATGTATGGGCAAGAGGAATCGATGTTCAGCAGAATTTGCCTAACAATCGTGAATTGTATATTCATAGAATAGGTCGATCAGGACGTTTTGGACGCAAAGGTGTGTCCATAAACTTTGTTAAAACGGATGACATCAGAATCCTTCGAGATATCGAACAATATTATTCTACGCAAATAGACGAAATGCCGATGAATGTGGCTGATCTAATATAAAATGCGAGATTTATGCGAAAATCTCGCATTTAAAAATTAAACATTTCACACGTACAAAGATTCTTTAACTGCGATTATGTTAATATACATGAAATCGTATGATTCTATCAATAACAGCACATACCAATAGTTCTCAAAATCAGTTTACTTGAAAACCCTTTGATGCTTAGTATCCCTAAGTTATTTTTAATATATAACTTATACTGTTCTTGTAACAATAATAAACGGAAAAAAGTATTCCATCACTTTTACATCATATAAAATATTTGAATGCAATATGTGAGAAAACTAAACTAACTATACTTTCTACTAGGATGTATCATTGATAACAGATTCTTTTATGAGAATGTGGAATAAATTCTTTTTTGTATATGAATTATATAGGTATTATGTATAAAATTATGAAAAGTAAGAATAGATTTTGTCAATAAAATATTTTATGACTTTAATTAATTATTTTTTCCTTATATAAATATTAGTTACAATATAAAAACTAGCGACATTGAGATAATGCATAGCATACATTCTATATATCTACATACAAATAATCAATAACTGCTGTAGTTGCCCCACAGTTCAGATGGCAGCGCGGCATAGCACAGTAACACGCGTTGAACCCGAAATGAAGCCAAAATAGAAAAACTAAAAAGCTTACGTTAACAATGCATGACTATAAATACAAGTGAATATTGTTTATCGCATTAAAAATGTGGGCGAAGTATTTAAGATGCAATAATCAATTAGTAATAAGAATAGTTATTTATTTTCGTGATAATAACATTGGAAGTGTGTTATGAAGATGCAGTTTTAAATAATATGCATATATATTGATTACAATACTTTAAATCAAGAAGGTAAATGATATTAATGAAATTAAGAGTGAATAAATTAACAGTATAAATCAATGTGTATGTGTAATTTTGTTTTTTATTTCTGTATTAATAGATTCTATACTCAATCAATAAAAATTTTAAAAACATTGAAGGAAATGGAGCAACAAAATGATTGCTCGATCCAGAGAGGACAACCATTGCGTCGCTATCCAAATGACTACAAAGCAGAAGGACACTCGTCCACCTGTATGTGTCTATAAATTATTCTGAGACTATGGGAAATGATATTTTTCAATATTTATTATTTTTGTCCCTTTTTTTATTTGCAGTAAATAAAACAACGACGAATCAGCCACAGTATTCGAATACAGGAAGACCTACAGTACGCATAGCTGTGTATCTAATGACAGGAGTATTTCTAACAATGGAAATTGAACAAAATACGACTGCACAACAGATTTTTACAATAGTGCAATCAGAAGCAGAGCTGGGTCTCTCAAGATTCTCTTTGTCAACCACTACACCAGTTTTCGCACTATGGATGTGTTCTTCGCAGTTGGAAGTTCAATTACGTCCAACACACAAACCCGTGGAATTGGCTGCAAAGTGGAATTATCTTGTAAACAAGTACAGCTCTTATGCAGAAGATTCCGACGAGGAGCCTTTGCTATATTTTCGTAGAAATATATTTCTCTCAAAGTCGGAAGAAGAACAGATCAAGGATATCAAAGTCCTTGAATTGCTTTATGCAGAAGCCAAGTACAACGTTCTGCAAGGTATGGAACGAAAGAATAAGATCCTTTCTATAAAAATAATATAATTTCTCTTATAATATAATTTGCCTTCTGCCCAGGACGGTATGTGTGCGATGGTCCTGCACGTTACGCTAGTTTAGGAGCGTTACAGGCTCGAATCGAACTCGGACCTTATAACGCACAAACCCACACCTTGGCATTTTTCCATAGACATCGCGGCCGATTTTTACCGCATCATTACGCTTCTCCCAGTCTTCTATTAGGATTGGGACTCGGATTAGGACTGGTGGGTGGCAAGGGAGCACCCGAGGCGCATCTTTTAGAGCAATACAAACGAATACCTAGTCATAATGGTAGCGCCAACGCAAATCCCAAGAAATTGATCAGAAAGTATCTTGAATTCTGTTGGAACTTACCGTGCTACGGCGCAGCCTTCTTTCAAGGGCAAATCGAGCGACCCGTCAGAGGCCTAGCATCGTGGATCACTAATCGCGATATGCAGATTCTCATCGCGATTAATACGTCGGGAGTGTTCATAGTCGACGACATGCAGTGCGTACGTATAGTATTCATTGAGCCAAAATTCTCATTTAAATGTGATTATTTTGAATAAAACTTTATATAAAATATATTTATAGAGTATATAGTATAGTAACATTTGAAATATATTTATGTAGAGCTTGCTATTAGGGCTAAAATACTCGGAATTAAGCTGGGAAATGGCGAAACCTTCGGATGAGAATAATCCGGATTGTCTACCTTGTTTGTTTCTGCAATTTCCGGTACGAGAGAACGGAGCGCGCGTATACAAGATTCTACAAGTATTCTCAAGACAGGTATATATATATATATAAATAAATTATTTTTAAAATAATATACATAATTACTTTTACGAAAACGAAATATCGTACAATAGAGATCGCTATTTCAGGCGCCAATGATGGATACTTTAATATCTGGTTTTGCGGAGGATTATCGTCGTCAATTTATTAACAGCGACAGCAACAATGACCAGTTGGAGCATTCGCTAGTTTTCCCCAGTGGAAGCTTTACAAATAAACTTAGTAAATTTACGCTGGCCACTTTTGATGATGAAGGTAATGAAACGACACTAAGTGATCTTCATATGTCAATTTATTTACTTTCCAAAATCATTTCAGGTCGATGTATCGGTCAAATGGGTTCGTGGTCCTTTCGATAAGTACATTGTGATTATACATTTTGTGATGCCAATATACTCTCTAATAATATAAAATGAGTACGATTTTTGTAATATATAAGAAATTCTTCTTATACGCGCGAGCTAATATACTTATATGTATACACATTTTTTAATATGATGTTTCAATGTTTCTGAAGTACTTGAAGATGCGGATTTCGCCGTAAACGATCTACCAGTACCCTGTATCTCTGCGGCACTACATCTCTATGCCAATTGAGATACGTTTCCAGCACGTGCATATTGAAGCTTATTTCGTTTATCTTGGCTAACATCTGTTCCTCCTTCGTTTTCGATAAATCTACAGTCTGCATGCAAATATTATTTATAATAATTATATGAAAATACATCAATGTTACACGTAGAAAAGAGTGCTTGGGTGTGAACGAATGGGCAGAACAAAGCTTCTGACAAACCTGCGTTAGAAGAGCTTGCATCTTCTCTAGTTCCGTGGCTTGCTTTTCAATCATATGTAAAATACGATTCGCTTTGTCAATGGACGCCTGCTTGAAGTCGCTCAAACAATCGTCGCGCAGCAGATATGCTTCCGTTTTACTGATGTGCGCCGGATTGCCTATTCGGGCCAGGTACGGTCCCAAATCGTTCATCTCTTGCATAATAACTTCGCGTTGACTCGGTCGCCTTTTTATTCCTTTCTGAAAACAGATTGTGAGACTGATTAATTAAAACAAATTTAATTAAATCGTTAATAAATACCGTATCTAATTCAATTGTCGTTTCGGCTATTCGATTTCTGTCAAATAACGAAATTGTGAGCTGCGGATTTAAATTTTCATCGGCTCTTCTTCGCAGGAACGCCGCGATATCCTCTTCAGCATCTCTGATGTGGAGTATGGAACGATCTTCGTCCTTCAGATGTTTATCGAGTGCGTAAAAGAGATCGAGGTTTTTCTCCGGCAGTGCGTTCGGATCTGGCTGCAAGAAATAAAGACTTCAGATTATCGTCTTCCTCTTTTTGTTAATATTTTTGTTATAAGGAGAATTTACATTATATCTGTGGGTCATCGTAGGATCGAAAACTAAATGATCTCCCCTGTCTCCTATCGAAGGTTTTATAAATGTATGAATAGCCTGGGTAATCCGATCTTGCTCGTAATGAAATTTAATGCAGATTTCTCTTCATTTATGATACTTCTCAATGATTTTCTGCAAGATGCAAAAGGAATTAATCATCATGTACGCTATAAATTTTTCATCGATTTTTATATGAGGAGATTACCGAGATGTGTCGAGAATGAATATCGTCTACCGTCGTGTTGTCTTCATCTACCAAAAATTCGGCATGTCTATTAAAATAATATAAAAGTATTATTGATATTTTTTTTTATATTAATATTATTGATATTATTAACAAAAATAGCAACAACATTACTTATTATATGTTCATATAAGAAAAATTTATACGTGTAACAGAAATGTGCAAAGCTCAAAAGATTTGATTTTCTCTCGATATGTTAGAACCTTTCGAGAGATCTGACATGGTGAGAATAGAAATATGATAGACATTGCAATAATATCTGTTTACCTGTAATATACAAGATCTTGACGGTCCACGTAATGTTGAGTCAAATAAAGCGGACCCATCTCGATTCGCGAGAGTCCATCAAATTGCACGCTATCGTAAAACTCTATTGTTCTTTCGCCATTTATCGAATCGCTGTCGGATGCAAGATAGCGATGTGCTAAAAAATATTTTATATCATTATAATATAAAGCGATACGCACTACGCAGAGCTCGCGCGTTGTAACATTTTTACTCCGAATTGTACCTTTACAATGATCCGGTCGGCCCTTTTCAAAGAAATCCGTGACGATACCGGTAATGAAGTTTTTTCTGGATTCCGTAAGACAGTCAGCTCTATTCAAATACTTCTCATAAGTTTCGACAGGAGTAGTATATTCATAATCTTCGTAAACGGTTACCCTTTGAATCAAACTGTTGATTTGAGAATACGGCGCGTATAATTCTACTTTGGCCTTTTTGTAAAGTATTGTTTTACTGCCTCGTGGATAACGTCTTTCAAAATCTGAAAAAATGATGTATAGATAAATAAATATATAACGGATCGTTCAAGAAATTGATATCATTATGTTCATTAACTTTAATTTCAATTTTTTTATCATATGTATAATTTCATTCTTTTACGAAAAAAATGTGTAAAAAGATATATTATATATGTATATATATTAAATTAAACGAATACCTTTTCGAGCTTACAATGAAGATAAATTTTATGTCTAAAATACATAGAGATTAGATTTAATTTTTTTAAATAAAATAATTAATCAACAAAAGATTTATTAAGAATGAAGATTAATTAAATTATGAGTAATTTAAGCGGTTAAAAAATTTTATTAAATACATCTATAGATATATTTAATCAAAAACTTATCTATTAGATATATCTATGTATATTAGACAGTAGAATTCAAATTGAAATTTAAATAACAGGGGGAATGTCTTCATTAGATTCTTTAATTGAAATCGATATTTCAAACTTTCGAGTGACTATGATACACCAAATATCTCTGTGTATCTATTATTATATCCTTGTTCATCCAATGTTAAACAAGGATAAAACGAAACAAGGAATATCCGGATAACGTTTCCAAAGCAGCTCATGGTGAATATTTTATTTTAATTTATTTTTGCGTCATCGGACTTGATTCCACCTCCCCCATTTCCACCCCCCTCCCTTTCCTACGCGACTCGCGGCAATCGCGGCCCGTCCCGCCTGCCCTTCATTCGCTCAACAATGTTCGAGCCGGCGAGAAGTGTTTTGTGGATGTCGCGCTCGTTTCAATATCGGTGCATTATCACTCTTCGAAACACGATCGCGATGAATATCAAAGAGAGGCGTGATCGCTCCCTATTTTCAGCTATTGTCGGATCGCACGTAATAGTGCGTGGATTTGTAAGTGTCATAAAAGTATTACGATGATTACCAAAAAAATTCGCGCTATTTAATGCGGTAATCAGGACGGAAACATGGAAAATATGTAATTTACCGTTTCAACGCAACATTTTATAGGTAGTAATTATTTCTCCTGTAACGCTAATTTTCCGAAATATTCTTCATGCTTTGAATTTTTCGTCGGTACGAAGGTATATAGCTCTAAACAGAGTTCGGGTAATACGCAAGTCGTTGGCTGAAATACTAAAATGCGAATGATATTAATGATAATTTATTATAATTTGTTATCAACGTTCAACTGCAAAATTCGTATTGCTTGAAACGTATTGCGCATGTAATTTATTATCATCATATATTTTCAAACGGTCGGTCGCGTTTTAATTTGTAGCTGTTAACATGACTCGCGTTGTATTGCGTGAAGTTACCGTCGTGTTCAATTTGACGGTTAGTAGAATATCGCGAGAGACGGATCGACTTTGGCTGCGTTCCGTTTCACGCATGATGTATCATTTATCCTTGTTTAACATTCGACGAATAACAAGAATAAAAGATGCATCATGCGCATCATGCGTGAAACGGAACGCAGTCTTTGAGTGGCGTCGCGACGCGTTTGATTAATAAACACAGCCGCAAGTAATCCAGTTTTTTACCTTGCCGACCGCGTAACATATATTCGATGTTCGTACATCAGTAATTTCTTGGAGCGAGTATTTCACGAGACTCACGCGATCAGAGTCCACCACGTAAACAGTCGGCACAGACAGCGACCACATTTTCGGGATATCGTACATTCCGCAAATATTTAGATTGCAATTTAATTTGCATATTAATTTGAGATTGCATATTTAATTATTTCATAGCACGATAGAATAATATTAAACACGGCGTATGTATTTATTGTTCGAATGTAAGAAACCGTATAGCAGACAACGAAAAGCCTAAAATCGAGACATAAAAAAATTCGTTTTTAAACACGCGTGTTGTTTGGGAAACGAATAAAAATGCACTTAAAATGCAAGAGGTGTAGTATCTACATTAGGTTTGTTCGCGTTGCTTGAAATCGTCAAAAATTTTTACACTTAAAATAAAATAAATATATATTCGGGCTGAAAAGAGAGAAAACAAAGATACGAGTAAAAAGTTCAAGTAAGATACACCGGTTGTATACACGTTCAAATAAACTTGCAGTGTGACTTGCGTAAGCATATTTGAGTTGACAAATTTATTTGAACGTGTATGACCGGTCTAACGTTATTCGTCATTGCGGAGCTGCTCTTGACGCGTGAAGTTAGCCGCGCGACTTACGAATATTGTCCGCCATCTTGATGTCGTTAACTCGTAGGATCAACACTCTCGTGTTATTCGTCGCATCGGAATAGAATCGTGCGAGTAGAAAGTGCGCATCGTGCATGATCATCGCGGGGAATGTTGCACAAAATGCATCGCGATATATTTTAGTAATTAACGTACGAGTAATCGTCATTAATGTGTCTTTCCGCGAGTGAATCTTGTGCGAGTGCCGCGTGAAGTAGTGACACCGGATGATGCGTAGTTTATCATAACCGTCGATGTTATTTTTCCTCGCGTTATTTTTCCTTTTCGGCTTGTATTCCGTTAATAATCATTGTCAGTACTGCAAATCTATAGCGTACTTATTATTGTATAGATTTCCAACACTGGCAAGGAATACCAGACCGCGGTCAAAATCGTATGCATGTGATCGTCTCTGTGATCGTCATTTGGGGAGTGTCATATAAAATATATACGACTTTGTGTTGTAGCGATTAGTGTCTATGTTTAGTAATTGATGATGAAAATAAGTTTGCGTGAGTGTGACAAAGGAACATGACGATCAAATCTGAGAGGAGGAGCAGGCCCGGGGGGCATCAGGCGTTGGCAGAACAACTTTAGGTAATTAATTTATTATTACTTGTGAAATATTAATTATTTACCACCGCAATGCGTATTAATTATAATTGGCTATTTTTTGAAATATTTAAATTATTTAATACTTGTAATACATTAATTTATTTAACAATTTTAAAGCTTCCAATTCTTTATTTGTAGAAGAAAATTAGTATTCTACATTCATCAAATTTTGGGTAATTATTTAGAATACGGGTCCCCCTCTAGAATTTTAATAAAGATGTACTCATTCGACGCGTTTTCACTCAAAATGAAAGAATCTGGCAAAAAATGCAGCGGTCGGCCTCGTGAACCGAGGAGATATCAAGCGTTAAGATTCGAGATTTTAGAGGTTGATTTGTCATTCTGACTCATTGCAGCGCTATGTATACGTAAGGTCTGTTCTTTTTCGAAGAATTCTGAACTAATTATGAAATAGTGCAATAAGTTCGAGTGAAACAAACTACAGCTGTCTCACTCTAACTTATTGCGGTGGTCACGTGTCGAACATCAATTAATTTCTAAAAATAAATATTCTCTACTTTAATTATACAAATTCTTGGCTTTACAAACACAAATTAACTGCTTTAAAAACAAAAAAGTACTGGTTCATAAACAATTCACTGTTTTAAAAACACAGAAACACTGCTTTAAAAACACAAATTCACTGCTATAAAAACAAAAATTCACTGCTTTAAACACACAAATTCTTTGCATTAGCAGTGAATCTGTGTTTGTGAAATAGAGTTTGTGTAATTAATGCAGAATGTATACAGCTGTGATTCTTGACGCTATAAATGCTTCGAAGCGTTTGGCTGCGTTCGGAAACGTCGCTGGGATGCCTCCGATGCCTCGTCATCTGTCCTTCTTTAACATTAAATGTTAAACGAGGACAGATGATGAATGGGAGGCATCGGAGGCATTCCAACGACATTTCCGAACGCAGCCTTTAATTGACCAATCAAAAAATGCTTCGAAGCATTTTTTGTAGCATCAAGTGGATGGTGGACCGTAGCCATAGCGTTGTATCGAGTGCAGATTTTAACCTCTAAAATATCGAACTTTAACGTTTAATATTTCGGTTCACGAGGCCGACCGCCGCATTTTTTTGCCAGGTTCTTTCATTTTGAGTGAAAACCCGTCGAATGAGTACATTTTTATTAAGATTCTAGAGGGGGATCCGTATTCTAAATAATTATCTTAAATTATTTAATATTTTTATTTAATACTATTATTTAATATAATTTATTATTTAATACTTGTAACATTAATTTATTTAACAATTTTAAAACCTCTAATTCTTTATTTGTAGAAGAGCTTAGTATTAGTATTCTACATTTATCAAATTTTGTAATAGTTTATGCCTCAAAGATGATTCTTATTGGAAATATTATTTAACTTTTTTGTTAAATATCTGTTTAAAAGGGATAACAAATAAAAGATTGAATGCATGCAATAATTATCTTTTGAAATATATATAATAGATGTTTTGGGCACTATTTTAATGTGGATGTGTCTATATGTTACAGATTAATGCAGTTTCAACTCTGCTATTGCACATCAGTGTCGGTGAGTCTGAAATTGTATTTTATCTTAAATTGAGAGGTAACAGATCTATGAAAATTGTATGATATATATATATCAATAGAAAGCTAGATATATATGCAACGAATGAAAAACTAATTAATATATTGTATCAATTCAACAACATAAAACTATAGTTAAATATAATATCTCATAGATCTGTTATATCAAAATGGATAGATCACCGGTCAAACTATAAATTGTGTGTATATCTACCTTTATATCAGGGTTGGTAAAAACTCAGTTTTTCCAGAAAAATTTAAATTTTGGGGGTTTTTGTGGGTTTCTGTGGGTTTTTGTACTAGGACTCTAGTAGCAGTCATCTATTGTTTTAAAAGCGTAGTATCTGACAAAAACATAATTTCAAAAAGTCATCCAACAGATACTACCAGGATTTAAGACCAGCATTTCATTAATATCATTTATGTTAAGCAATCATTGCAACAAGTTTTCGATTAATTTATAGATAAAAAAACAGTTTAATTCTTAATATATGTTGTAATAAACTAGTGTACTTTTAAAGATCCAATAAACGTTGCTCGTATTTTTTGATCTTTCTAATTACTAATTTTTGCTTAATAACCTCGAGCTAGAATTTTATACATTTCCATTTATTTGTACGC